TGTGTGTCGTAAATGGATATGCCCCTAAGATCATTAACACGAGAATAGGATAAATATTACCTATTTCTTTCGATTGTTTAATTACTTTGACACAATCCACATGCTTGCCTTTCTTAAAACAAATGAAGTTATGTACCACAAGGTTGCGTTTGCAACATGCAAATTTTGACCTTACGTAACTCATTTTATATTTGAAACTTCCGCACGCAGACTATTCGATAAAACAGCTTTTGATTTAGTTAGTTCCTTATAAACCTTGTTTATTTTAATATTTTTAGGCGTTTTTATCTTATGTAGGAGCGGTCACTAGACCTAACTCGTTTGATGGTCATTTCCTGTCATATATGATATTTATATTTTTAAATTCAATGTTTGAGTGTTAATGCGTTGTATGAGTTCTATTGTTTTTATTACGTCTAATAGACTTACAAATGAAATGATATAAGACTTTCATATGCAAGAATTATATGTTATATAAGAAAGAAAGAAAGAAGAAAGTAAGAAATTTAATCAAAAAATATTTCTTTATTTGTTACACGAATGGCCATTTATTTTGTGAACTTTTCAAGGCGAAAGGCGAAATTGATTAATTATTTTGGTATATTTATTGAACAAAAAACGAGGCTAACGTTAGATACAATAATTTTATAATGAATGAGAAATTTTTGAACTGATATAAATTTTGTATTAATAGTTTGAAATTAACGTAACGAAGGTACCAAGACCTTACCTTTATTTATAGAAAGAAGAGTTTTGCTATCTTCCAATAGTATAAGAGCTTAGGACAAAAGAGTGATAATAACTGTTCATACTTTAGTATATGGAAGGACTAAGTGTATCATCACTTAGTACCCAGTGCGGAGGTTAGTTGCTGCATCACCTTTTTTTGACTTGATAAAAGGCATTGCGCACTGTCACCTAACGAACGGCAAAGGGTATTAGGGAGTCAAAATCCCGAGCATGCTCTCGATTGGGCATGCGTACGTAGTCGCCGGCAAGCCACTTTCTGTGGGGATGCCCGCGTGGGAGAGGGGCTTTTAAGGAGTATTAATTAGAATCCCCTCAATCAGGTGCAGTCATGCAATTCGCGGGCGATTGTCAGGCTCTAGCGCTGGCTCCAGCAGAGGGAATACCTCTCCCTGTTCGAGAAGAGAAAAGACGAATTTATCACGACAACTGGCATCGCAGCTTGCGGCCCAATGGTTCGCCTCTTTTCTGTGTTCTGTGGTTCATACGCACGCAATTACCGTATACGTCACTACCAGTGTTTGGGCTACCGTCACTGGCGTTGCTTCCAAGCAGTCGCCAAGTGGGGATGCTGATATTTGACATGTAATTGGTTTGGTGGTGGTTATTGGCCTCCGATAATGTTAAGCAGCCTTGATGATCGCTAATTACCTTTTACCTACTTACCAGCAATATTTCCAACAAATTTTCAAGCGCCATACTTCATAATGACTTTAATTATACGCATTATAAAACTTTTTGGTGTAGAAACTTAAAACGTTTTATCATTAAAAGCTTAAAGCGTGTACCAACTTTACTAAAGGTGAGAATTTTAATGTTGTTTATTTAAATTTTAAATTATGTTTGTCGTCTTCCGGATAAGGTTTTATCATAAAAACTGTTCAGACACAAATACTTCTGTCTTCTGAAGGCAATTGACTAAAACGGCTATTCGGATTGTGGTTGGTTGTTAATTGTTTTGGCTATTTAGGTGCATTGCCTGAACATTGATGAGAATAAGCTCACTAGTAGCGAAAAGTAACAAGTGCTTGAAAGATTCGTTAGTCCTTTTAGGTCCTGGGCAGCTCAGTGGTTATAACAGTCGTCCGGATTGCGAAAGATCGTAGGTTCGAGTCCCATCTCAGAATACCTGGGGCTGGTGAACTTTTTAATCAGTTTTCATTAATTAAGTATATTTTACAGTCTTTTCCAGTATGGCATTGTGAATGCAAAAATTTATCAAATATGAAAGGCTGTATTGTTTTGTTTTAAAAAATTATTGTTTTTATAATCTTTATAATTATAATATAATCTTTATAAAGAAAAAAACAATTAAAAACTAACAAAACCTGCAATAATAAATACAGAATATTTTTTACGATCTTTTTGTTGTAATTACAGGCTTCACATGTTTACTCCTGACCTCTAATTTAGTTAAATACAAAAGAATTGTTATCAATGTCTGTAGGGCAAAAAGTTTCAAGCATCAACAATAAATCAATGACAATTAATCTTAAGTTTCATTATTCTAACAACGAAGCATCGAAGGCTAGTATATCATTGCAATACAATATGAGTGTCCCTTGTCTACATTGCGTCATATATGCATGGCCGCATGCTTCACTACAACAGTGAACAATTGGTGCCCTGTGGGACCTTTGATCTTGCGGGTTCCCAAGTATTGGATATTACATGATCCTAAGTAACAATATCCAATGTTTTCAGATTTTCACAACGTTTCGTTTGCATCAGAATTTACGTGACCTCAATACATGTTTTTGTTCAATTTAAAATAAAAACGAAACGCTTAGATACTATTAAAAGCATTTAATCCTTATTTTTTTAAATATAATACCAACATATTATTAATTTGGTTAACTGTCCCTTTCATAACATTTAATAGTTACTTTCCGGTATTCCGATACCGCATGGTTCCCGCCTTCTGTGAGCCTGTATGGGTTCGGGCGCATGCGCAATTTCGAACTTTTATAAAAAAAATCCAATCCTTCCACACGTTTTAAATATTAATTATAATAAAATATAATTAGTTATTTATACAATATTAATATATTCAATAAATTTTTGGTCTAATTATTATTTTCTTGGGTATTTAAAACGATTTGAGTTTTAAGTATTTCTATAAAAAACACAACTAATATTATTTAAAGCAAACAAATAATCAATTGTTTGCTTGCACTGAGTAGGCTCCGCTCCAAAACTACTGCACCGACTTTGAAAATTCTTGCATCTCGAGAAGCTACATCATACGCGAGTAAGACATTATAAATCTAAAGCGGGTAACATGTGGTAAGATATTCTGTAATTTGCGCAGGTAAAGATCAATGTTTTATAATCTAACTAGTTATAACCTAGACTTTTTAAACTGTGTTTTCAGTTCCGTAAATAATAAATATAATAGAAGTCTTATAGTTTACAGGAGTAGATATAAATTATAGGTATTCCTTTGATTACATGTGACTATAGAATAACATTAAAACAAATCCAAATAAAATCAAACCTATCCTATCAACCTGTAAGTATTTTTTTTGTTTGGTTTTAATAATTAAGAGATACAAATGAATTGGCACCAATAAATTGGCAAAGTGAAATGCTTTATTAATAATTTTGTAGGAGATCAATGTGTGATAAATACATAAAAATATGTTTAGTTATATATATATCATATTTTATCAACTATTTTAAGAGTTTTATACCCAAAGGGTAAAAAGCGGGACGTAATACGTATTACTAAGACCGCTGACCGTCTGTCCGTCTGTCTATATCTGTCACGACGCTATATCTCATGAACCGTGATAGCTCGACAGTTGACATTTTTACAGGTGTATTACGAGTATTTCTGTTGCCGTATAATAAACAAATACTAAAAAGAGAATAAATCAATATTTCAGGGGTGTCCCATACAACAAGTGATGTTTTATTTTTTTTTTATATACGGTACCTACTGTTTTATAACGGTACGGAACCGTTCATGCGCGAGTCCGACTCGCCGACTCATACTTTAATGTTTTTTGTTTGGCTTACATGAGGGAGAGGTACAATAAAAATTGGCAGTATTATGTCGGAATGGAGAAAAGTTTACATTAGTAATTTAGCAGTAAATCGATGTTTGATAAATACATACTTAAAAATATATACATATGTATGTTTCAAATGCAATTTAGTTAATTTTACCCATAGGTCAAATCAAATATTTGTATGAATTTTATTTAAAATTGTATATTATTATATGTTTATAATAATATACACCTTATACTAGCTACATAATTTGACGGCTGTTCAATATTTGCACGAATATGTAAAACTTTAACAAAATATGGATGATTCATTAGAAAATGCGAGTAAAATATATGAGCGGCGCAGGTTGTGACCACATTAATATTTATTATTTCGAGTGCCTGTTGCCTTGTGATAGCAATTTGTCGGCAAAGTAAATTTATTTCAGTATAATAATAGGCGTTTTAAGTAGGTACTCTTATATGGACTTATATGGACTTAACTAGGTTTTGATTTATGTGCTCTGTATTATTTTTTAAATGAAATTTCATTTTAAATAAAGAATTTAATAATTAACTTACCTAACTTAATATCTTTGTTCACCTGTTCTATTTTTAAATTAAATGGAACTAATCAAGGATAGCAAATTTAATAATAATAATTTAAGAAGTAATACAAGCAGTTTGAGAATGACGTTAACAAATTTAAAATAGCAATCATATTTCGAAACGTTAGAGTTGTGAATTTAATAAATTATATATATTTTTTTATTTATACAAATAAATAAAGAATATAGTTCAGCTTTATCGCTCATAAACATTTAATCAAATTTATAACAACCATAATACTGAATTTGACTTAAGTACATGGGTATAAACCGTGTGATATATGAGTACTATTTATTGAATTTTACCACGTTCATGTTGTAATTGTTAAATAATTAATGGTTTCCTACAACGTCTACAACATGAGACTTGAATGTAATTATGGACAAACTTCTAGAATTAAGTATATTTTAATACACCAAGTATTATGGAAGTTTGTCACTTTGAATTTTATTAATTAAATAGGTAATTTGATTATGAATACTTTCAATTATATTAATTGATACAATTATGTTTTGTAGCTGACCTATCACAGTCAATCGTTGCAGGCAGCCGTCCATCGTAGTCAAACGCCCGCGTGCACCGGACAATCGCCTTTGCCACACTATTTTTACTTTGATCTTGGAAGTATGCCATCAGCTGGGCTCGTTCGCCAGTTCACTCGAATCAACTCCGGGGAATCGCACCATTCCCAAATAAAATCCAACTCTCAAATTCAAATTCAAACGAGACCTGCTCATAAAGCATCAATGAAATTACTACTAGTACGCCATTGAGATATGCCTAAAGTGTGTGACAGAAATAAACTGAGTTCGCGGGTGAAAAGTTCAGTTGTACGAACGATGGCGTCGTGAATTCTACGCGGCGGCAATGGCTCACTACCGTTGGACCTTAACTCTAATTTTAATCTCGTTACCAATCCTAGCAACAGTGATAAGCGCATTCCGCGTACGCGATTTTCCTAAAGCAACGCACGAAACCTCTAAAACAGATTTTAAGAAAAAGAGATGTGATAACTGTGACGATAGTGAACTCAAGGTTAGTCAAATACTACACACTGCTAAAATTGAAAGTGGCAGGCGATATGATGATTTGAAGAAAGCGACACAAGAAAAATTACAAAAGATTAATAAGAAAACTTCGGAAGCACAGTCTAATTTAAGGTTTAAGCGTAAAGGTGATGAGAACGATGACGACAATAATGATAGTATAGATTTTGTTATTAGTGATTCGGTGTTAAATAATAATATTCATTCAAAAGCAAACAAAGATATTCAGCCAACTGCTAAATTAAAGTCAATGAAATCTGTGAATAAAGAAAAAGCCTACAACGATGATAGCGATGATGATGAAGACGAAGACAATGATGATGACGACGATGATGAAGACGATATTACTATAAATACAGGAAGTAAAGCTCCTCTCCTTTTGAAAAATGTTGAAAAGAAAAAAATTGAAACAAAGATACTAGCCAGTGAAATAGATGAAGATAGCGATGAAGATGATGATGATAGCACAGACAGCGATGAGATATACGATGCAAAAAAAAAGCCTGTTGTTTTGCCAAAAGATATAAAGCCTCCTAGTATTAAGTCAACAGCAAAATTAGTCGTTACTAGTGCTAAAAATGGTGATGATGATATTGATAACAATAAAGATGATATTACTAATTTTCTTTCGAAAAAAGTCAGCTCAAAACCGAAAGAGATAAATGATCACCAAGGAAATATGAAACAAAGAGTGGTTGAAAATGATGATGATGATGACGATAATGGTAAAGATGACAGTGATGATGATGACAACGATGATGATGATCAAAAACGAAAACCCAAACAAAAATCTCAAACCAAAATTGAATCTTACATAAAAATTGTCAAAAGTTCTCCGACTATAGATGATAAATTAATGTTCAAGAGCTGGAATAAAGACGAAAATACAGAAAAACAAAAAGAACGCAAGCTGGAATTAAAAGATCAGGAATATGAGAATGAAAAACAATCAAATAAAAATTTTGAGCAGAAAACAAAAGATAATAAACAGCATCAAGAAGAAAAGAAAATAAGTAAACCAACCAAAGTCGTAAATCCAACAGTAACTACAAAAAAAGTTGATGAAAAAGAAATTAAGGATGAAAACATAACCGAAGATAAAAGAAAAGAGCCTGTTAAAAAAGAAGAAGCCAAAAGAAAACCTATACAACGTAGAGAGATAAAAAGCAAAGATGAAGATAAAAAAATAGACAAGAAATCAGCAACGGAAACAAAGAAAACAGAAGAAAAACTGACTAAACACAAGACTGATATTATACCCGATACAGAACACAAAAAGGAAAAAGAGCACAGTAAAAAGGATAAATCGTCTAAAGAAACGCTTTTTGACAGTCGAGAAATGTTCCCTAAAAGTGAAAGTAATTTGAAACACGTGACGGATGCTTTGCAGCGACGAAACTTACTCCAGAGTGAATTTGAGGACTTTTATGCATTCTTCCCAACTTTTGCGCCAAATTTCTCGCGTATTCATAATCCGGAATGTAGGCGTCACGGACAAATCGTCTTGAGGCAATTACGTGGAACAAAATTATGGGCTTTCAACAGTAAGTATGTTTTACGTTTTGGTTTTCTGTGTGTTTTTACAGCAGATTTTTGTGACATAAAATCAGGTTGGGGATGAATGATGAATGGACTTTTATTCTGTGTACTCATTTTTGTTAAAAGTTGCTAGATTAATTTTTATTTATTATATTGGGACAAGAGTAGTCAAGACTAATTTCTGACATTAAGAGGGTTCACGATACTAAATAATCTAGGGGGTAGGCATAACTCTTAAAACAAATCATTAAACAAAACCGAATGATAAAATAATAAAAATATGTGCGAGATATTTCTTTAATAATTTATTGAGTGCACATTAGGCTAGTATAAATATATAAATCGTATAAATCCATAAAAAAAATGGATTTAAAGTAAAAATAGAAACAAGATTTTTTAATTGGTTTCTCAACAATTGTTACAATATTTATATTGAATTAATATTTCGGTAACTTATAAACTGTTTCCACAATCTTTTATAGACTAAGACATCATGCACTTGACATCTCAGTAAATATATAAAGATAACATCGGTGTTTACAACGATGAACGTACAAGTAGAAATGTTATTATATTAGGTTTTGACGCAAAGACAGATTTTATTTTAGTGGCAAGGCAAATAGCTTTTAAAATTAAATGTTTATAAAATTTAATGATAGAAATGTTGAAAACTTGATAAAGCTCTTTAGACCTCAACACATATGGTATTAGTTTTTGATGAAATTCTTGATTGTTCGAAAACTATTCCCCTTGGTCTCATCAAAATATACATGCGTAGTTGAAAAATTTAAAATGAATTATTGTTGCTTCGTTTCAAGTGAACCGTTTTTTGTCTCTTATCTGTAGTATTGATAGGTTTTGCTTGTTATTCCTTATTTTCTTAACAAATAAATCGCGGTCCCTTAAGCAAATGTGGATTGGGCCGCCCTGCTCTTTAGACTATCGTCTTAATTAGTGAAAAGGAAGAAAAACTTTTAGTTTACATTTTACTAGAAAAGTTTTAATTACTGCTTAATTAGATGAGTATGATAGCGTGGTGATTAGCGTGTCAATTTGCGATTTGTAAAGGCCAACCTATTCGATTCGATTTGATTCCATAGCGAAGGCCTATATCCCAGCAGTGGTTATATTAATTAGGAGAAGATGATGATTAGAATCATCATCCTTATCAGACTGTTAATGTCCCCACAGCTGGGGCTCAGGCCTTTCCTCTGAATGGAATCATGAATGGAGAATGGGCCATGACCCAGTACGTTGGCTCAGTGCGAATTGGTATGTATTAACGACAGCAGAGGCAGCCGGGACCAACGGCTTAGGGCGCTTGTGCACTACACTGAATTTTCAGGTCCGGCGGTCCGATTTTTTCCGGTCCGGAATGACATGAAAAACTCGGATGAGTAGCTTGTGCACTTGTCCGTTTTTTTCCTGATCGGAGCGGCGCAGTGTAGGGCAGCTCTCTTTGAAGCTACACGTCACTTACGCTAGGTACGATGAGATTTTTGGAACGTCGGTAATTCCGTTCGAAGACGTAGAAAGGTACCTAAATAATGATCTGATCGTTTTACATAAACCATAAAAAATTATGGCAAGACGAAAGCATTTTTTTTACTACTATCGGATAACTTATACCCTTACTAATTTAGGAATAGCATTATTCACATAAAATAGCTAAAAATATCTGTGACATTAGAATAAAATTACTGATAATGGTCTAGTACTTGATGTTTAAATTTTTAAACGTGCTTTTTTTTTTTTCAAAGTTTTGTAAAAACAACTTTCAGCGATTACAGAGATAGACCAATCGGTGGCGCCATTTCGTAAACAAATCGAAATTAATGCCGTGTTAGCAGAGAATTATTATGCTAAATGAACTTTACGAGATCAATTGACTGTATTATATATAGGCATAATTTTATACGCATGGTGTAGTTTCTTTGAGCAGAAATATTATTCCCTTAGAATACTTCTTTTTTTTTAATTTATCAATGACACAAACATACATTTAAAATTTTATTAAATGCGAAAAAGACATTGAGTGTCACTTAATTACTTTTGTTAATCTTCTGTTTATTCTTTATTATTACTTCTGTTGTCAAATATTTATCTATATTTATCAATTGTCTAAAAAAATTGATAATGACAAATTTCCAGGCAAACTTTCATCCCCTATTTTTCGTGATAAAATGTAGCCTATGTCCTTTCTTAAAGTTAAGTCTATTTACTATATTAATTTCCATTTAGATGGGTTCAGTTGTTTAGGCGTCTAAGCGTAACAACACTTATTTATCTTACCTTAAGCTATCGATACTTTTAATACGATTCTAAAATCTAACTAAGTATCGATACTAGAACCATACGCTGATCAAATTAGAACTATACCGAGTTTGCCAAAGCTTATGCAGTGATATATACCAACTATATTAAATCATCATATAAACTATAGCATTTTATAATCAACAATAAATATTGATTATAAGTTTATTGGAAATTAACAATATTGCCGAAATAAATATCGATTCAAGTCGATTATTTTTTCCCAAGCCTATTCCTTATGAATTTTCCGGATCTCGGACACAGCAGTGCACAAGCGTAAACACGTTTTTCATTGCCGCCATCACGGACCTGAAAAAACCGTTCCGGAATAGAGAAAAGTAAAATTCCGGACGGTAAAATTCCTGACAGTGCACAAGCGCGCATTACCTACATATGGCCTGACATATCGGACCTGAAAAAATCGGACCGCCGGGCATGAAAATTCAGTGTAGTGCACAAACGCCCTTAATGTATCTTCCGAAGTGCAGAGGAGTTCGAGATAGTAAATTTTCGATTTCGTCGAGTACCTCGATAATAAGAATGCTTTAAGAGTAATCTTCATACCGATAGTACCTATTTAAAGAACTGTGCATTAATTATGAAAACTTGGCTTAATATGAATTCAAGATACATACAAATTGGTTTTAAATTCGATAATAAAATAATTCTTTAATAATTTATTAAGTGCAGAGCAATTGTTTTACGCTGATTATACTTTTAATTTTATTGGCAACGATTCAGAAATTTCAGTAACAGTTGTTGCACGAAAAATATCCAATTAATTATGAAGTCGTTCTCTAATCAAGGTTATATTTAATGCCGCTTTATGTAGTTGAGAACCTTCTTGCTGATTTTAAAATCTGTTTAAAAATAAGGTAACACTTTAATACCCATTAAGAAATCCTTTAAATGATGCTTGATCTTGTTGTATTAAATTTTTTTGAAGACCATTATTAATAAAAACTTTTTATAAAAATTAGAATCGATTTCAAACTTTAAAGAAGTGATAAATAATACTTATCTCAAAAGCGACTTATTAAAGAAAATGCTATATTAAAGTCGCGTGGAGGTTATTAAACAAATGATAGGCGCCTGAAATCAATAGCATTGTCTTGAATAAGTCGCTTTCGAGATAAGTATCATTTATCACTTTTTTAAAAGTTTGAATTCAGTTCTATTTTTTGATAAAAATAATGCTTTTACTTCATGCTTTTTAGTGATAGTGATATTTTTTTATATAATAGGTAAAACTCAAAATATTAAATATCTGTATTAAGAATATACTTCAGTATAGCACTGTGAATGCAAAATTGATCAAATACTTCTTGGATTTCAAAAAAAAAAAAATAAGACCACCTCGATCTATCAAGCTGTGGAATAAAAAAAGAATTTTGAAAATCGGCAAAAAATTACATCGCCCTCGAACATATAACCTACTCCTTTTCGATTTTGAAGTCGGTTAAAATACACGAATTTTATATTGAAAGATTGAGAAAATATAAATTCAAGTTTTGAGTATGATACCTTTGTCATACTCAAAACTTAAATTGATATTTTCTTTCTTATACTTGTATATATTATGTATTTTTAATTACAACTTAATTGGGTCATTATTTTTTGTAAAAAAATATTGTAAGAACGCATTTGAAAGCGCCTGTGTCGTGTACATTATACAATTTTTATTGTGTTTATGTTATCTTGATAATGGCTATAATGTGAAGTACTATGTATTTACTGGAACGACACTTGCGTGATGTCCTTCACTACGGTCTCCGAGGACCGAACACTGAAAATACTAGGGCTCCGCGTAAAATGTCACTAATGGAATCCTTTTATCGGAATCACATTGCGATTCTATTTTGTTTTTACGTAAAAAAATGGAATCAACCGAGAAAGACATTTTGGATTTCTGTTTATATTGGAATGTGAATAGTTTATTTTTATTGATAGATTTATTGTAAATATAATAATAGCATAATATTAAATTGAAAGCGTTTACGTACTGATATGCATACTAATATTATAAAGAGCAACGATTTGTTTGTTTGTTTGTTTACATTTACAAGGCTACATTGTATGTGAATGTGACTATAATTTATGCAGGCGAAGTCGTGGGAAAACATCTAGTTGTATATACTTGTGCCATTTCTTTCTTCTAGACCTATGAACTCGGCAAATCATACAACCGAATTGAGTTAATTTTTGTGCATATTAGCATCAAATGAAAGAGTTCGATGAGAAGATTAAAATAAAATAAATAAAAAAAGTTTTTAAAGCTTTTATTATGCATTAAATGTAAAAAAAATAAAACATGTAAATGGAACATGTCGCACTGAAACATACAAATATGTTAAATAAAAATTATTGGTTTTCCTAAGAAATAATATTATTTTATTTTAATATCCGGCTAAAATTGACAGAGTGTAAAATTAATCCCGCCTTTGTACACGTTTAGTAGTAAATTAGGATAAATAAAATACATTGTGTGTTGTAACCCTAGTAAAAGAATATAAATTGCCGCTAATGTGTATAACTTTTTAATATTTTTTACAGTGCTTGACGCAACAGCGAAGATTCCCTCAGGGTTGCTTCAGGGCAACGGTCTTCAGTTGGGGGATTACGACCAGTGCTTGAGCAGCCGAGCCCGAGTACAGTTGGAATCAGGGAACGTGGTGAAAGTCCAGGGGCAGTACTGTTTGGCCAGTTTGGACGTGAAAGCGGAACATCCAGACCTGGAGTTGCCAGTCCATCTGGCGCAGGCCAAGAACCTGATCAAGAGTAGGATCGATGATGTGAGATGTTCTTTTAGTTTTTTTGCGATTCTGTACTATTTAAAAAAGAAAAAAAAACAGTATTCTTATAGATCTGTCTGTCACATACCATGTTCCTTAGATAATACTTGAGCGATTTTCTTTAAAATATACTTTTTTACTTCATTTTTCTGCGTAAAAGGAACTAAAATTCATCATTTTCGATAAGTTGGCAGTATTGAGAAGAACAATTCAAAAATAAAGAAAAACGGCATAATACATCTAAAGAATCGAGTATGACTTCTAGAAGATTATGAGCGAGTGAATAAAAAATAGACCTCTAGGATTTAAGCAAAATAATATGCTTATTTTGGAGATGATAAATTTATAAGACATAAAAAGTTATTAATAGTTCATTGAGTGGTATGTCTATGTAAAAATACAAATTGGTACTTTTCTAAGGTTACAAAAAATAATTTGTTCCGATTTATAAAGAAATTAAGTCAATATATGATTTATAACTTTATGCATCCGTTGTCCAAACTATATCGTGTTAATGTTTAGAGATGTCGACAAGCCGTTAGAATTCTATATTAGTTTACGTTTATAGTTTTAATTAAACAGGAATAGTATGTTTACCGGACAAATTTTAACACTCAACATAAGGCAGCTAGAATTAATGTTCATTAATCGGTTTTACGCCCAATTTTACCAATTCAATAACGTACTAAGCTAAAGAGAAGTCCGAACAAAAGGCCTTTGTTTAGGTTTGGATATATAACTTAAATTTGGATAAGCGCAGATGGAAAATAAAATAAACAATTTTGCTATAAAATATTATATATGAGGCATTAATTTGGAGAGCCATCTGTTGTTTGTAGAAGTATGTGATTTTTATATTAATAATTATATCAAATTGCTATTTTAAACATGACACATTTCATAACAAGAATATACTTTGTTAGTTTGTAGGGAGTAATCTTCGGACATACTGGACCAATTATGAAAATTCTTTCATCTACGGGAGGAAAACAGCTAGTATACGAGTATCATACAGAATATATATTACTTTTTTTCTTCATCAGGGTAAACATGAAAAATATACTAGTTCTGCCAATCACTAGAATATATCAGCAATTTGTTACAGATGAATAAAAAAATAATTTTATTATTGCAGTTAATTTGCATTTTTTAATCTTTCAAAAGGACGTCACTAAGCGTAGCCATGCTTTGTTTAGCCAGGTCACTTCGTGCCGCGATTTTCGACGTTAAGATGGGGTGTATGCGTACCAACAGCGTGCGCTCCTGAGGATGTGGAGGTGGTGCTTAAGGACGCCCTCAAGCACTACCAGCACACCAGCGGCTTGGTGGTCAGGATCAAGGTCGATCCAACGGACTGTCACACGCTTGACGCTGATTGGTGGGAGCGCTGGTTGGAACTGCCGACGATATTAACACTGTTAGTGTAATTATAGCCACGTATTGTAGTGGTGGCGACCATGAAATTTGCAAGAGGGGGGTAAAAGAGTTTCATCTTGTTGGATTGGTAATCAGAATCATGAATGAGTTTTTGTAATTGAAATCGAAAATGAAATATAAACAATAAAACTTGTGTTTTATTATACGAAACAGCACATTAGTACTAGTACACATTAGAGAAACAAAACCTTTTTGTTTTGTCTTTTATCGAAATTTAAGTATTAAGAACCACAATAAAGATAAGCATAAGAATTTAGCTGTTAGCTCATAAAAGTACTTTAATTTACAGATCTCTCTATGCTTTCGTCGTTTTGCTGGTATTTGTTGCGACTGTTCAAGACTTCATTTCAAGGAAAAAATCAACGAAGACCAAGGAAGATGAAACAGACGACCAAGAGATACGCCCTCAAAAAGAGACGGAAGATGAACAGGAAGTAGATGAAGTTTCAGAAAAGAAAGGTAAAAACTCCAAACCTCTTCTTACCACATTGCCATGTCTTTAAATTTTTGTTAAGAATTTCTGTATTATGTTACCCTAAAACTAAGATTATGTGGCCTCATTACGGTGAATCTATCACATCATTATTAGTAGAACCTTCTATCATCTCGAATTCTACGTGTGTCTATTTATTTAGTACTGAAGTTCAACGGCTCAAAGCCAATGAACTAGAGGAATGAGTCTAGGAAGTTTGCGATATTTCACTTTGCATAGAAAATCCTTAGCACAGTTTTCGTGGAGTGCGAAGTACTTATGAACTGTGGGGCTTGAGCGCAAGCTATATTCGCTCAAAGTTTTGCTAGACCGATAACTTCCCAGATTGTAAATACTGTAGCTTGGATCTACTCGTAACAAGTGTTCAGTTCGGTGCGAGGGTAATAAAGTAGTCAATACACATTATATTTACTTTATATTCAATTTTTTCGCAATCACTATTGACGGGATACAGTGATGGAATAGTTTTGTTATGTTTTTGATAGCGATTTTTATAGGTTTAGTGTTTTGAATTGAGAATGATAGAAGCATCACTTTTAATGCTCCAATTTGTAATTAATATTGAATCTCACTAATTATTTGATAGTTTAAGCCCAGTAAACCTAGAAGATTTTGATATATATAATGAAGTCAATTAAGTACTTTTTAATCTCTTTCGTTTAGAAATTTATCTACATTAAATGAATAAAGGATATATTGTATGAAGTAAAGTTAAAGTTGTGCGCTTAGCAAGTCTAATGAAATTCCGCAAAACTCGTTTGCTAATAACAAAATTCACGGTATTTGTGAGCTTCAAACAGTTCACTTTTTGAAGTGAAAATGACTGTCGTTTTACATGAGTCCATGTTATGGGAATTTTTGTGGTTGTGAATTAAAAGATGATAAAATTCAAATAGTAAGATTATTTCATTGTTTTATATAAATATACGTCAATAAAACAATAAAAAAATCATATAATATTATTTTCCACAACTTTTACCGATATTAATAAAAAAAAAAAATATTTGGGAAATAAAATCTTCAATTTGTATTTGCAGATGGTGTATTGAATGCTTTCTCGTTATACCATTCTATTGGAAAGCTGGTAGCCCCGTCCACCGATGACGAGGTCGCCTCAATTCACGGCATCCGCGGACTCGCCACATTAGCTCTGCTGGTTGCACACAAGTTCATATCAGTAGGAGTTACGCCGTTCTCCAACAGGCTGAAGATCACGGAGGTGAAAGATCTTTAATCATTGTCTCAAGTGCTTGAGACGCGAGGCGAAAATTTTCGCTCACCAAGGACTTTTTTAAAAACCATTTATCGATATCTCGTGAACTTTATCCCACTCTACTGCATTAAACGCAAGAATTAGAGCAGAATACGTGTCGTGAATTATATTCATATGAAACTGGGGCATGTCACATACCTGCACTGTGTGAATTATCTTGACTATAGCCTTAATAGGTATTTAATTTACACTAATATCGTCGTTACATATTTTTCACGATATATCGAATAGCGACTTAAGGGTCAACGCAAATCAAATGACGGAATTATGCGTTAGTATGCGACAGAGCATTCGTCAGGTGTGCAAGTTCATAATGTTAGATCTGATGTTCCGCGACCAATATGCTCCTGACTCTGGTACTCTGTAAAGAGTTTGAATAAACGTATAAACTCTCAGAGAATAAATTTTAAAAAATATTTAATTTTAATAACAATAAGAAGGTAAATTACAAGTACTTGTAATAAGAGTGGAGTGCCACAGGGAAGTGATTTAGGTGCGTGATTAAATCTATTGTATTAAATTACGTAGAAAATTTTGTATATTATTAAATTATCTTTGGTGTCAGTGTAAAATAGACTGATATGTTAATGCATTTATGATAAAATAAATCCATAGAATTGTAATTTAATGGAAAATAATAAATAATTAATTCAAACACTTACATAACACAATTCAAATTACTTTGAGGGACCGAAGAAGTGTCTCTTGTCGGTCGCGGAATGACAGAACTGACAAATATATAATATTGATTTTTTATATATCCTCACGCGCACCATTCATACATATATGATAATATGATCCGTCGCGTACTAACGCATACATCTGTTAGATACTTGACGAATCTTTCGTCAGATATACATCGACCTAACTCTCCAATTAGGGACATAAATATGGATGATTTTTGCACATTTAGTTACAATTTTGATGGTTGTTAATTAAGATACCCACCGTTATTATCATTATAAATGAAATGTGTTATCAGACTAACATTTTCTCTTTTCGCATACATATAAAATATCGTTTACTAGAGATCGACTTTAACCGTGGTTATTGCTATAATTTATTTTAATATAAATAGTCGATTATGTATTTACGACTAGTGATGTGGACGGCGTCTTTAAGATTCAACCGATGTCTGTACTGACGACATGTCGGAGCTCCCCGCTGCTGGTGTTGATTCAACAATGCCTTTTTTGTGAATATATTGAGATTAATTCGTACAGATAAATGTATATATTTATAAATGTGTTATCAAAAAACGACATTGAATTTTTAAAGCATGTGCGTATTTATTCGTTCAATCATTCTAATTCTGTGTAAATATTAAGAAACGAGTCTATGAAAAGTTAATTACAAACATAATTTACTTACTCATTGGAAATTTGCAAAGCATATTACATTGTAATATTAACAAATTCAAACAATACTATAATAAAAAGCTGATTTCTATTTTTATAAATTTAATGATTAATAATTTTGAAATATAGATTTTTTATTTTAATTTGAATCGTTAGATAGATTGACTAAGTAATAGTAAAATTTCTAAAGTGACTCATCAGAGTGTAAAGTGCAAACACGGTAAAGGGAGATCACTATGAGTGTTTATATTATACACCATAATATAGGTAAGGGTCACAGAGCTATCCCAGTAATACTAAATACTTGTTTTTCGTCGATTAGTTAACGTTGGCATCTTTCCAAGCGTGTCTTTGCTGGCTTGCCGTGCGCGTGCGACGTCCAAATGACTCATCTCGTATTATTTAGTAATGATATTATTTAACTGTAATGAGATCAAGGTCCGGTCAATGCCATTTCCTTATTATAAAAAAATAAAACAATAGAAATAAAAAGACGAAGGAAAGAACAACGAAATTATTTTTAAATAAATATCTATTACAATACATACGCATATAAATTATGTGAACGCTATTATGACTGCTTAGTATTATAATGTCACTATTCACTTTGTTTTATCAAAATACTATTATATAGTGAAAAATTTGTGATAATAAGAAGGTACTTTTTTTAATATTTACATGCTAAAAATGTTGGTGTAAATGAAGAAACTTACAATTTCTTCCAAAAGTAGTTTACAAGTTGTTTAATTAGTTTACACAACATGGCAACTTATGCTATTCATTTTTTTTATTTTACACGTTTTTTTTTGCGTTATGAACAAATTACGGCGATACACTGAGAAGAAATGTCGCATGACGTCACGCTTTTGTACATTTTCTACTAAACTGAGACGTAGTGAGCCCCTATACCTCAACTTTAATGCCTGTTATCTAAGCTATTTCTTGTTTGAATTGAAGTAAAATAAATACATTCAGTTTAGTTCAATTCAGTGGACCATAAAGTTTGAATCGAACAGATATATATAAACAGAAAAAACAGAAATATATAATTAAGGTTTTATTAGCAAGTAGTTTAAAATATAATTTATGCATGGTTATACAAAAATGCTTTTCCTTTTTTTTCTATATTTTAAGTAATTTTCGTAAAACGGGGTCTCAATTTTTTGTTAATAAATACTACACCTGTCGCGTTTCGCGAGCAATATTTTCACGTGTAAAAATAATAAAGATTCTTTCCAGGCGCTTTCGAAATGAAGTAATTGATATACAATTTTTTATTATTATCATTATTTGAGATAGTAATAATGATCTCACCGATTTTTTTTTTACAACTTAACCTTCCCAAACTCACATCATACGAGTCCTTTTGAATTCATCAGGATTTTTCACGGAAATAAAAATAATATATATATTTATAGACAGTAAGTTCGCCGCTATGGTCATGGTGTCGTGCCGGATGGGTGTTCACTGATTGTTTCCTGTTGCTTAGTGGAGCGCTGACTGCTCATAGATCTGGAGGAAATACATCTGCACCCTGGAGACTCTTCCAAAGATACATTAGGTCAGTTACATAAGCACTTTATTTTAGACATCAATGCTTGCCTTTTCATAATATTAGTTTGGATATTTGTATCCGTTATTTATTTAAAAATAACATAAACGTTTCGCTTGCTAAAAATAACATAAACGTTTCGCTTGCTGCTTCTTTTCTAAATATTTTATAACTGAAGAATTAAGTTATTGATTAAAATTATATCGTAAAATTTAATAGGGAGGTAGAATTTACAGTGGTGAAAGTTATAAGTTTCATAGATTTTTTTTTACAAATAATAATTAGTCAGAGTCGGATTAATTCAAAAAATCACATAAAAAATACGACACACGCGATCCACGATATACACACAGCAATATCCTATATGTACGTACAATTTAAAAAATTTCAATTAATTGTAGATGTTTCTTCTAAGGATATAATAGAATTGAATATAATCTAAGCATTAAAGTTTTAATATAGTGAAGAGATCTTTTTGAATAACCTGTTGATATGCTGTTGACCGTACTTATTCATCAATATAAAAATTTTAAAAATATACTAATGGACTGTTCTTTGGCCTAGAGTATTACTACAGATGCTTTATAGCATTTTTATGCCTCAAATAATGATGATAGAGTATGATTATCTTGTTATCTACTTATTGATATAATTCTTACCTATATGAGATCTGCACTGTTTTAATGATTATTATTAAATGAATCCCTAATTTTTAGGTTAACTCCCGCACTTCTAGCCCTGGTACTATTTTACGCATACGTTTGGGACGATGTATCACAGGGTCCTATGTGGGGCACTTTGGTCACTAAGAACGCGGGGGTGTGCCAGGCTGGCTGGTGGTGGAACCTACTCTACGTTCAGAACTACTTCGGCTTCGAAGATATGGTAAGAAAGAATCATAGATTCAATCGAAACCAGTTTAGTGACATTAATGAAAACGCATGTGAATTTAATAATTCTTAACTAAGCCTTCTTAGATTTTTTGAAATTCTCTATGCTTTAATAACTTACTACCTTTTCGATGGTCAAATATCAGCTCATTTGTCTTATTATGCTATTCTGTTAAAAATAGTGCCTAACTTGACGTTGATTAAGCTCAGCATCACGGTTGTTACAGCATAGAGCCGTGCCCATTAAATAAGTCCGTTATTAGCTTTTCAAATAGTTTTTAATCGATTGCATCTCTCTGAGGTGACATCGCTGCGCTTGTCCTCAACTTCTAAGCTCTTTTTCTAAAGAAATAACACTGTGATTGCGCTGCACATTCATATTTTAGTTAGTCATCTTTTACTTTACATATATTTAATCAAATTCGCACGTATCATTGTGGGTTAATGTCGACTTGTGAATGATATACAACACACTTGTGAAAGTCGAGAGCTACGTCATCGGTTCGTAAACCTACGGGCGGGAGACCTTGTACCGAGAAGAACTGACAAGAAACTCGGCAAAGGCTGCTTTTTCTCACTGTTTTCTTTAATACAGTGTCAAGGTTGAAAAATAAAAAAACATGAAGTCACTTTCCATTACAATTTTAGAAAATATAAAAAGTAGAACAGTATTTACGTCAATCGAATCACATAATTAGTCAAACAAGCTCACCGATAAATAATTTAATATACATAAAAATAAGCCATATTTAACACCAAGCAGTTTTGTTTTTTAAAGATTCATTAAAAGTATAATATCCTTAAATGAGTAGACAAATCTTAATATGGATCTTAAACTTAGGCAATGGTAAATTTTAAATTTTCATAGGTTTTTATGTAGACCCATACATGTTGATAGAACCTTCTTTAGCCTGCATGACGGCAAACAAGTTTATTTTTGTTTCTAGTATTAAAATTGTGTACATGACTATGTTTAATGTAAATGTTAATATTGTTTCTAACATAATGTATACAATTGTTTATCAATTGGGAGGCTACTGTAAATATCCATTTTTTTTTATGTATCTCTAAGTGATATTCTTGAACCTTATTGGTAAATAGCCCTTACCGTTATTTTTTGTAAAATAAATACAGATTCTATATCTGCAGCCATACCCCACATCAGAATACCATATGACATAACGCTGTGGAAATAACTAAAGTATACTGTACATTAAATACATTACATTCGATGATTCTAATCATATCCAACTCAATCGAGTTACGACATGCCGGTCGGATTCCAGATACGACGAAATAAAATACATCGATGGCATACAATGTCACCAGCCCTGCAATTCTGTAAAACTCCAAACCCGAATTCGAATTCTCTCAGGTGTCCGAATTGACTTCAAAAAGAGGCATACGCTCAACCTTGAATTGGTAATAACGTTTCGTAGCATAAGTGAAGTGAGTTTTGAAATGATATAGGAATAGAATATCTGAGACACGTGTATCCAATCAATTTTTTTTTTGTATTTTTATACAAAAAAAAAAATGGAATCAATAGAATTTTTACACTAAATGACGCGAATTCGGACACACGAGTTCAAAATACATAACCAAGAGTTTTTACGGGCATAGTTTAATTATTTTTTTTTTTTGTTTTCCAGTGTGCACCGCAAACACATCAACTAGCTTTGGACATGCAGCTGACAATCATAGGGATCGCTATTGTATGGGCCATACAGTCCAAAATACCATTCGCCAAATATGTCATACCAAGCATTTTGGTTTACGCCACTTATTCAAGATACAGTAATGTACAGGAACACAGGCTAACCATGGTTGCTTATCACGGAGTCAGGTATGTAATGGAAGTTTTATAATTTTACTTGCTTTCGACTTCGCCCGAGTGGTCTAGTTTTAAGTCCATTTATCCCCTAATTTACCTCCTTAGAGGTCGAATTTTGTAAAATCCCGTTTTAGTCAGCAACTACGTCCTAAAAAGAAACCGCATGCAAAATTTGAAACTTGTTGCACTTGTAGTAACGAGATTTCATAGAAACTTTCCTCCCATAATTTAGCCCCTTCGGAGTGGAATTTTCAAAAATCCTCTCTTAGTGCTCCTCTACATTCCCTAAGGAATTTTCATTCTAAATTTCAACTTTTACGCTCAGTAGTTTCGGCTGTACTACACTGCTATATGATAGACATATATATATAATATATATATATATACTATTTCTGTCTATCATTCAGTCAGTCACTCAGTAACGCAAGAATTTTATATATATATTGATTAATAGTATTTTGATATCGCCAGTCTAGACAATACTGTCCTGAGGGTTGAAACAGTATTGGACAAATGATTATATTATGCAAACGATCGGAGGATAAGCAAAATATGCATTCAATTAATTTGATAAACCCTGTTCAACATTATTGTACCTCTACAGTAACAGTACACATGAAACTAACGTTTCTTTCAAGGCTCCGTGTAAAAAAACTGGTCTCCATTATCAAAAAAGTTTTAGTAGCGCTGACTTACAGCCAGTTGCACATACGTCCATTAAAATATTCATGTTTACAAAGGGTCATATATTGCATATAGAATGTGTAGACAGGCCAGGTATATTAAAAAAACATACTGAATTATTACTAGAAAACCAAAAATGATTAGCACTCTCTCGGTCATCCAGGCTCGCGCTACTATTGAAATTAGAAACAAATAAAGTAGTGCAGTTTGAAATCTAAACAAAAGCAATTTTTTTTGTCATATAATGTGATCGTGGGCCGTATCTTCGAAAAGGCAAGCTTTATAATGTTCTATAATTTACTGTCACTTTCAGAATGTAATGTATTTTTAATACGTTGGATTGATGATTCTTAATAGACCATTGATCTGACACTGAATATTAATGCATCAGGACCAATATCTATTACAAAACATACAATGTCATCTCCTTGTGAAGTGAAACTCTTAATTTCCTAAAGTTCTACTTTATGTGCTGCTTCACTTAAAGGCAGTGTCAATGTGCATCATTAAAAGTTTAAAGTTAATATACAACTTTTTAACGCACCAAAATGTGGTTTCTCATGCACGGCTACTAACAAGTTTCAGATTTCAGCTCGGCGAGAAATTGACTTTGCTGCCGAAATACTTTCGACGTGAAATATGTGTCGAATATAGGGATTTTTGCTCGCTCAGCTTATTTAGTATCGAATAAGCGTTTATACTTATTGGTATTGGATTTATGAAGTCTACATTTATTATTAGTTATTTGAGTAACGTTTGGTATATTCAAAACGAGTTAAAGGTTTTTTTATGGAAAGCCAGTAATAATTATAACATTTGATAAATATTGCGTTCACAATATAATAGATTGATATGCATCTTATAGGTTTTTTTTAATATTTGTAAAAGAATCTTTCGTCTGTTTATTTCTTGGATATTTGTTAAAATATACCGTTAATTTACGTACGTATCCGTTATTAGTTAACGGAAACAACAAGTGCTCGAGAAATTCGTTAGTCAATCAAGATTTTCGGGTTGCTCATTGGTTATTGCAATTGCCCAGATTGCGAAGGGATTGCGTTACGGGTTCGAATCTGTCTAGGTCTATGGCACCTGGGATTCGATTCGATTTTTTAGTATTATTCAAATAGAAGAAAAACAATTACGAAATACAGAGAAATAAAGGATACAAATTTTACGTCATAACATAAAGTTTTGGAGAAATCATTTCATATATATCACAAAGGTATGTAACAGAATACAAGAAAATAGATATTGATGTACTTAAATGCATAGCTTAATGTAAAATTACACTAACACGCAGTAATTAGTGTTGTGGTTTCATGTCGACAGATTTCAGATAGAGCCCACGAAAAAACATATAGGGAATTTAATTTAAATGCGAGAAACTTTCAGCAAATAAAGTTATGTTTTATCGATGATTAATGTATATTTGCTACTAATGAAACATAATTTGTAAGAGTTTATTATTTGAGACATTAAGTATTGTAGTTTAAGAAAAAGCAGACTAAAAAGTACAAACACAAACATGTTCACTAAAGAAGATTTAATTAATTAATGGTTGTAAGGTTAATTGATTATTTTTTTTCGAGGTTGAGTTATATATGATATTTAGAATAAGCAAGTTTCGATCAATGGATTAATCGCAATTAGTTTATGATCAATCGAATCGATATAGTATATCTGAATTAGTGAAATGTTTGTTAAGTATAACAAACATTTCACATCTTTGATCTGGGTTGAAATATATATTACACTTACCAAAAATTTCGCTTCTTCTATTTGTGTTGAAATACACTAATATTACCAAACATGTTACATCTTCTATATGTATTAGAATATTATACACTTACCAAAACAATTAACATCTTCGATATGTGTTAAAATACTCTACATTTACCAAAGATTTCACTTTTTCAATCTGTGTTGAAATATACTAAACTTAACAAACATTAACATTTTACTTCTACAATCTATATTGGAAAATCCAATGGAGAACCGACGTTAATAAAAATCCAATGCAGCATAACATTTATCAGTGACCTTTATAAGAACATACTTAATTCCAATAAGTTTTCGTTAAAGTTTGATGGAAGGGTAAATAAATCGGATAATCTCGTTTCGCATTTATCTTTCCTAAATATTGTTTTTGTTGTATTTAGAAACAATTTTATACATCTAGATACACGTACATAGAAATGGACCTTTCTAAGAATCAGAAGGTTGATTCGATTTTTGGGTTCAATAAGATACTAGTCCCTGGGTAAACTAAGTTGTTATTTATGTTATATTGGGCTAAAACAAAATTCTAAAATACATGTAGTCATAGTTAAAAGGTAGGGCCTGTTATTAATATAGATGTGTTAAAATAGACTGGATTTACTATAATAATTAGTAATCGTAATTATCAATTATAAAATCTATATTGTTGCAGCGTCAGCCAGTTGTATCGCACAGCACGGCTCAGCTACACGTCTACGCTGCATCGGTCTACGCCATACCTGATAGGGCTGAGTTTGGGGCTATTGTTGAGAAAACCGCACCAACATGGCAAGGTAACATCGATATCTCTCCAATATAACATTCATTAAGGCTTGTTTGTGACTTCATGTTAATACGTACATGAAGTCACGAAATCTTATCAAATCCTTAATACGTTTCCTATTGTTTTTTCGTGCGGCACTCCAAGGACTGTACTATTAATCGATATAGAATTTATATATGTATATTTTATATAAATTTGATAGGTTTCTATATAGGTTTGAAGCTGTGCAACTAAGCGCGATACAAGCTCTAATTTGTTTAACGGAGTCGAAAAATTTACTGGTCTAATGTCGCCTTTGAAGTATGTGGCGATTTAGATGCTACATATAGATTTAAAAATACGATATTTGGATTAGAAATTGTTGCACTATTTTTGGTGTCACCAAAAATAGTGGTACAATCTCTTCTTATTCCAAAACTTGACTTTATCGTGTAACTTGTTAATATAGTTTTATTGACTGGCATGTTATCGAATATGACAATTATATATTTACATATTAAATAAATTTTATGATTTTTTATACCAAATATGGTGATGGCATGATGATCTTTGGGGAAAGCCCCGTGGAAACAAGATTATCCGCCATTTATTATGTGATTATTTGAGATGCAAAGCATATTCTACAATTTGGTGAGTGTGTGAATAACCTGATTTTAAGATTAACTTATGAATATTTGTTTTAAGTATTTGTTCAAACTCATATTCGCGAGTGATATTATGTCAAAATTGATGATCATCTAGAAAAAAGTATATTATGAATTCGCCGAATAATTACACGTGCTTAAATACCTATTGACAAAGTAATAAAGTTGATGTCAATACCCTTGATGAGTGTCACTTGTGAGTAAAAAGTCAATGTTAAAACTTCGATTATAGGTAGAAAATTTACTTTAAGCAACTAAACTAGCATGTAATGAATCTGAGCTATTGTAGTATTATGATAGTTCATATGTTCTTCTTTTCACGTTAAATATTATTTATAGATTTCATAAAGCCTTCGATACTTGTCAATGGTTGCAAATATTATAAATTCTTCTAAACAATATTATAACTCATTAAAGTATGTGAATTCGGACGTTATGATCGATTCTTGCGACAACAAACTCCATCAAACGATTGTATTTGACGATAGATGCCTTATTAATAAAAGAAATTATACAAAATCGATTAATATATATTTATTATCGACGTAAACAACACAACGTCACACATTTAGTGTTTTTTTTACTTTGAATAAACAAAAGCGATGCACGGGACCGGCCCGAAGGCCATACACCGCGCGGTTCGCCCCCATTTCAGGGGGGCCATTTCCCTCACCGAGTTGGGAGCACACCTCAGAGACATATGAGACGCGCCCCCCAGACAGGGTAGGGGCATGTAATGCCCGGCTAGCGCGCAAACTAACCGAAGTGCCCCCATAAAAAATCGGAAATGCGCAATTGGCCATTTCCAGTCCTAAACTGTCTATTTGGGACGCCTTCGAGGCAAATCTCCTCAGGCCTCCACTGGCGTCCAGCCCGACCAAAGCCCTGAAAAGGGCGCTATCAGGCCCCTTATCACCAGCTCCGCCGGTTCTCTTTGCGCGGCCCCAGTTATGGTACCGCCCAGCTTGGTTGTCACACATACTCAAACGGTTTGTATGACAACTGGATCGGACATCCAAGACCGGGGCCACAGGGGAAGTCCCCTCACCCGCATACGCAGGCTGACTCCCCATGTACCTCTCACTAACCGCGACACAGGCGCACCCAGCAGACGTAACCTGGCTAGGGAACTAGTCAACGTTTAGCCGCTCCAGCTGTCCCCAAAAAGATAGATCCGGTATTGCGTATCCATAACTTCAGGGAGGTTCTCAGCTGGTACCGTACGAGTACCACGGGGCATGGGACTTGGCCGTACCCTCACCCTCATGGAGCCTTCTGAAAGACTTAAATTAACCTGAATACGGACGACCGTAATAAAAGCAGTAATCAAAACAAAAAATAGTATAGAAAAATAGAAATGGAAAATGAATGCTGCCGTCTCGATGAACGCAACCTGCTCCTGCATCTAGGTAAAAGAAAAAGGCAAAAAAAGGTTATATGTTCTGCGGCGATGCACTTTTTTCACTCCCCAAGAATTTTATAATTGGTCCAACAGTTTAGGAGTCTATTCAAAGTAAACAAACTAGCAATCAAATTTTTCCTCTTTATAATAGGAGTATAGATAACGTATTGGATAAAATTATGTCGAGATTATAAACACTCTTTTCCTAAGACTTTCACTATGTTAACATATTTTTTAGAGCTACCTATTGTATTAAAAATATCAGTATCACTAAAAAGCATAAATTTTTATTATTTAATTTTTATCGCTCGTGCAGTCATTTCCCTATTATGCATGTACCCGTTTGGGATGTAAATAAACGACTCTCTGTTCATGGAACTTCCTATTCTTTCAATTTGTTTGCTAATATCAATAATGGATTTTCATGACAAGGTCGCATAAATGTCGTATGTAGAATACTGTAACTTAATAGGTATAAAACAAATATTTGAATGTCACTTATGTAACTTATCATCTGAATAATATGTAATAATGCTTGTTTAAGTTGTGAAGATGGTTGAAACTAAATATTTGAAGTTATAATGAAATCTATACCTAAATAGTTATGGCTAGACTAAGATGGTCGTATCATGGTCGTATTTTTATAGTCGTTCTAAAAAAATTGGCAAAAATTGAAAGGTAAAAAATGATATTTCAATTTGTGATATGAAGATAAATAATAAAAAATAAATGAAGCTTTATTTTCTTATTTCTATTAATCAAAGTAATCAACCTTGCAATCAATACATCTTTGCCAACGCATTGGTAGCTTAATGATGCCATCTTGAAGAAATCAGCTGGACGGGAGGCAACAAATACTTCAGAGGCATTTTGTACTGCTTCTCGAGAATTTATTTTTTTCCCGCTAAGACGTTATCCAAATTCTGGAAGAATTAGAAGTCTGTAGGCGCATGGTCTGTTAAGTACGGCGGATGACGGAGAACTTCAAACCCCAGCTCTTGTAGCTTGGGTACCGCCAATTGTGTAGTATGAGGTCGTACGTGGTCGTGCAGGAGCAGTGGAACCGAACGATTGACAAAACTTGGTTGGAGTTGTGCCAGCTTCTCCGTCATTGTGTTCAGTTCTTCACAATACACACAGTAAATCTGCAGTAATGCTCATCCTGTTTGGTAAGAAGCTGTGATGAAATACATCCGCGTTAGACCACCAAACAGCAACCTTTTCGTAAACCAATAACGGGCAAACCAATAACGGGTGGTGCGTTCGTTTGTAGTGTTCGCTCTGCAAACGTTGTAATGTTGCGTGCCGCTTTGCTGCCACGATGGCACACATACTCCATAAAAAAAAATAGTTTGATTTTAAATGGCTAGTACAGCAGAACGGCAATTACATAGGTAAAGACCTAATATAAAGACAGGACTCCGCCCATTTTTTTGTTGTTTCTCAATAAAGATCCCTTGAATTAAATGGTTACTTATTAAAGCGAAATCTACTATACGATTACATCACAGATTTTTGAAAAATAAAGGAGTATTAATTGTCGATGTCAAAGAAATTATTTAAAGAATTTTTTCTATTAACAAATTTATTTTTATGACGAATTAGTTGAAAAGCAGTGGGTAATTATTTTCAATATATGCAATGACAGCACTCGTTTCCGAACTACTGAAGATTTGTCAGTATTTTTTTGTATTATGCCTCATAATGCGAATATTGATTTTTTTTCGCTCATGAATATGCAGTGGTCAAAAGATAGAAAAAGATTAACTGTTGAGTCAATAAAAGCAATATTGCTTTGCTCACGGGATATAATTTCAAGCATTTGCCATCTATCGAATTTCACAGTGAAATTTCTTTAAAAATAAACTTTTTGAATGGTGTTGTTAGTTTAAAGAGTATAATGTGCAAAAAAATAATAAAATTTAATAATGAGTTTAATTGATATACTGAGTTTTATTTATAGCATATAACCGGGTTTTTACATAAATCAAGATTTTTTATTGCTTGTAACTGGTTATTCGATTTCAAGCCCTATGCGCCATCTATCAATTTTTACTAGGGAGGGTGTATTATACCGGTATAACCGTACGTTCAGTTCTACGCATTTACTTTTTAAATGACACCAAACAATGTTTGGATTCGAGTTATTGTTAACTAAATATTCATTGCGTTGATAATTGAACACTTTCTTTTTGTAAATATGTATGTTTTAGGCAAATAATGTTTTGTGATATTTATAAAATGTAAGAAATAATCTTTTTATAAAGTATTTTATCAGAAAAAATATTTAAAAGATACTAAGATACTAAACAAAAGTATTTAAATACAAGATACAAAATACTTCCTAAAAAAAGTATTTTAGATACAAGATGAAAATACGTATTTTGTATCTTGTATCTGTATTTCAAATACTTGTATCTAAGATAAGTCACATCTCTGTTCGTATCTATAGATAGTATAAAAGAAAGTCACCTCCCGTTTTCTGTACACGAAGATGTTTTAAACTTCACAATAGATTTTAATTCGGTTTTCATTAACATATGAAGGAGGAGGAAGGTTTATATGTATAATAGAGGACTATACGGGCGAAACCACTGGCGGAAAGATAGTTTTTTTTTAATTATTTTATTTTAAGGGGTTTTTATTTTTTGAACATTGCAACCCCAGCATATAGTATTTAAATATAGTGACAATGATAACGTAATAGTGTAATGTATTAACACGTATGTGCATCACCGTTTGACCTCGACGAGGAAGTTATAAAAACTGATGGTGGAGTAATCCGAGAGGATAGATTTTGCTCTTCGCCAACGTCGTAATGAGTCACTTAGTCTTTATTATGGCAATAAAGATTTCGACCATTATCTGTTCTCCCCTGGGTTGAAAAGGTGGTATTCTGGAATAGCATTTTTCTCCTATATATTTTATCAAAACTACTTTAAATTAATGTCTATTTCTTTTCTACTCAAAATTAATTCCACGCAATTTGGAAATGGCTGTTATATATAAATTTTATTTCAAAGTAGTGTGCATCTTGAAAAATAAATAATCAAACAAGATTGAGAATAAAAATAATCGCCTAAACTCATAAGACATAGTAAGTCATTATAGAAGTATAAAAAGTGGCATAATACTGCTTAACTTGGAAAAAAAAAAGATTGGAGGATACTAGACTAGGTTCCTAGAAATAGTTGGGACATATTCTGTTTGAACAAAATAGTTTTTATAGCTAATTTGGCCGCGGAAGAAGATCCTAGTGCGTAAATAGAATGAGGTTTGTGACCAAAAGTAATTTGCAGTAATTTTATAAAATTTTGTGTTCAGTTTTTTTTGTTTGCATTTTGCGACTATGTGTGTAAAAGTTTTAGTTTGACAAAGTAACTATTCTTTGTGTTTTATTATTTTGTTTTTATTTAAAATATAAAATTTTCTTTTATTTTAAATTTTCATAGTCGTTAATATTAATGTTTTTTTTTTCTTCATACGTGCAAATATAAATAAAGTACCAGAAATCGGTAATTGATCCACGTTTAATTACGAGCTCTCTCATTATCCAATTAGGTTTTTGTGTAGATAATGAGAATCGATCGACCTTATAATTATTTGTTTGGGTATTATTTATTATGATTTGATTGGGCATAATACAATTATGATATGACTAATTTAAATGAAAAATTATATTATATATATATACCTAATTTTTAATGGAATATTAGGTTTTATTATTTATTTTTCTAGCTTTTACGTTACAATAATGGTAGAAACAGTATCCTTTTGATTTACCACGCTTTTCAGGGAGATAATTAGTATTCATTGAACAATAATAAGGATTTTTTTTATTTTATCTGAAAATATGGAATAGAAGTTAAATTCCCGTATTGTAATTTGTATGACATTTTCCAATTCCCCAAACGAACATTGACTGTTCGGATGGTATTCTTCAAAACGCACTCAGAATCGCAATCGAGTTACCGCATTGCGGAATCCGTTTTCAGTTTTTATGCGAACGGTAGACGCCAATATGGCCGTCCGTCGATCATTGTGTGACAGGATTCTATCGTGCACTACCAAATGCCAGCGGCGCTTAATATATTGTAAACTAACCAACTGTAGATTGGAAAATCAAGCTCTTGTTAGTGAATTATGTTTTGTACAATATTATTAACTTGCTGTGCCCGCCCCTTCGTCTGCGTGGGAAAGTATATTATTAGAATTCTTTCTTTCCTATGGATGGAATATGATCGTATCGAATATAATCAGTGGGTCATGACCAATCAATGCGGATTGGTGAGTGTTAATGACCGCTGTTGCAGCCGGGAAACGGCTTAACGTGCATTCCGAAGCACAGAGGAACTCAAGATCATAATAGTTTTGGTTACCCATCCTAGGGACGGTTATTTCTCTACCTTTTTTTTCCACTTCTCGCGCTCTGGTATCTGAGCATTTCGATCGTACACCAGATATACTCTTATTAGTGATACTTACGTTGTTTGAACTGTTCTTCTTTTGTTTTTGATCTTTTTAATTATTATTTGTGTAGTATTGACTTATTTAATCGCATCGTAAATGCGCTAACCCACTACGCCATCAAACCTTTTATAATATATACCAGGGGTTCCCAAACTTATATCGTCTACTGCCCACTTTGAGAAAAAAAAAATTAAGCGCCCCCTTTTTTTACCTACTTAAAAACCACTATAAATTCAAATTATATTAATAATCGGGAGCTATATTAGCGGAAGTTAAAAATTCACACTAAACAAGACTTTTAAATGGAGCGACCGATTGACATAAATTTATTTTATGTATTCAATAAAACAGGAAATATATGCATATATATCATAAATTACACGGAGAAAAATATAGAATAGAATTATTATGAGCAATCTCTTAATTAATATTATTAGTTGATTTTCAAAACTTGTAGTCGATAGTCCAAAGCTCAGTCAGTGTCGAAGTTTTCGTAGAGGAAATTACAAATCGTCCCCCGAAGCTTCTATACAACGCCCCCATTTTTCATCTGGGTATTGCCGCCCCCCTTTAGGCCCGCAGCGCCCAAAAGGGGGCGTTATTACCACTTTGGTTAAGGGCTGATCTATACAATGGTTTATACTATGATGAAATAAAAATATTATATTAAAAATATTTGACTTTTTGTTCCTCCCATACCAAACACCAATTTCATATTTAAGGACCTAATATTATCTTGAGCTCCTCCGCGCTTCAGAATGCAAGTTAAGTCACGTTGGTCCCGTTTGCATCAGAAGTCTTTAATAACCACCAATTCGCATTAAGCCCACGTAATGGGTTATGAACCATTGATCCTATTCGATTCGATTCCATTCATTGAAAAGGAAGAATTTTCTTAATGTACTTTTTCATGCAGACGAAGTCGCAGGCACAGCTTAGGAATAAAAACGTTATGCAATAAGAAGAGATCCCATAAATTTACAATGTTGCGCAAACACACAACTCCATTGACTATTTTTCAAAATCCGTACGATTCGTCGCGTACCGTGCATCTGGTGCATGCGTGTGGACACGGTGTAAGTTTAGCTTTATATGGCGTATAGTTTGTGCAGAGCAGATCTTTAATAGGTGCTACCAGCGATGACCGTACGTACCTACGACTAAATTTGCATTGAGTCTTTTGTTGGTAGCACCTCGTTATATCTTTCGTTATGAAATTTTATTTTTAATAGGAATATCATGTTTGTCTATACTGTTTGTACTGAAACTGTAACATAAAAGTCTAATTAAATCTTTCATTATACCGTTACAATAACTGATTTCCATCATCCTCCTCAATAAGTCTTATTTTCAATAACCACAAGGGTGCGCTTCTTGAATCATTCTGATATCTTTAGTTTCTATCTTACTGTAATACTTTATAATAAGCGCTATTCAGCGGGTTTACCCATAAAAGCAAATTCCGATATCAGGATTTGTCTTAGACTAGGGCGTGAAAATATTACTCTAAGTTCAGTGTCTTTCACTATGAAACATGATAATTTGATTCTTGATTTAGGAGATTAGAGCTAGTTATTTCAGGTTTAAGTTTTTTTTACAGATCACTCTCACATTTGGCTGGTTGATTTGCCTGACGTTATGGAGTCTCGTATGGTGGGCAGGATTCGATACTGGTTCAACACAGTACCGGTACAGCGCATCTTTCGCCGCTCAGTACGCCTCGCTCGCTCCCATCGCTTCTGCTGCAGCGATAGCGTGGGTGATTTATACTGTGCATGGTGGACAATGTGGTAAGTATCACAATCTACTTCTGGGTCAACATAAAATTTAAATGTAGGACAGAAAAACCAGTTTCTAACTTACCCATAGGCAACTATATTTCTTTTAACCTTTTTTAAATGTTATGGTAAAACTAATTCCGTTAATAGCTGTGAAGTATCAAAGTTCAGTTCCTCGTAACACTTGAAAAGGTCAAAAGCGAGTTATGTGCCCTAATATCTTTAATTCAATCTTTTATTTGGGTATATTTGGTAAAAATTGACGATTTTATGACCGACCCGATAATATATACCCGATATAACATAGGGAGTCATATATATATCAACGTAGTTCTTCATGTAGATATGTGATGAGAAGATATTGCAAATAAAGAAAGATGGATATTCTATAAGTAAGAAAGGGGTAAATATTGGGATGACTGCTGATCGAGAAGTATAAAATAAGAATACATATCGCAATGGCCCCACATAAAAGAGTTGGGAAATGATTTACCTGTCATTAAATTTTTTTTAGTCTTGACTTATATTAATGATTAAATAAAAGAACATTAAGCGCGTTTGTATTTGCTTTCAAGACGTTTCGGACCCTTTACAGGTTCGGTGTTAATTAATTGTTTCAGAAACATATTATTAGACATAAAAATTATTTTCTTACGTCGCGTAAATGGTGCTTCTATTATCGTTATACCTTATGTCAAGATTTTATCGCTACGTAGGTCGTGAGCTCGGGTACAAAATAATTAACAAGAATAAATAAGCCTGAATATGGCTTCTAAGATAAGACAAACGTAATGAAAGGAGGAAAATATATAAAAAAAGTACATGTAAGGTACAGAAATAATTTAATTTACTTTATAATTACTACCATTTTGGAATGAGTTTCAGTTTCAGACTGAGTACGCTTATATTATGAGAGCAGTGACAAATTATTTGAAATATTAACGCAAAACGAACATCTTTGGATATAGACATAATAAAAAAAGGTTGAAGAAGGATGGCGTGAGAATGGAAAATGTCGACGATACCGCATCATGACAAAAGTTGTATTCTAATAATCAATTTTTAATATATCGTTTTCTTTGTCATACTCTGTTCTATTCATACATTAAACATATGCTTGTTGAACTGACCAAACAGTGAATGGTAAATCGAATGTCCATTTAAGGTTTGTTTAATTTTCTGTTTTCAGAATGGCTTGCACGATTCCTGAGTTGCCGTTTTCTGGCCCTCCTGAGCCGCCTCTCCTACGCTCTTTATTTAACACAGTTTATTGTATTTCTTACCAAAGCTGCCATTGTCAGGACATCCACAGAATTTACATTAATATCTATGGTAAGTGGAGGTGATTTTTTTATATGTTCGATGACTAATAAACATATACAGCTAACTTTTAATGTGGATCATCACATTTTACCGATGAAATCGAAGAATGAATAATCTTTTATTATAAAGCGATTCTGTTAGAAACATTTATTATATAGACATTTATGATAATATATCAATGACATGAATCTTAATAAAGTTGACGTCAAAGCTATTAAGAACATCTCAAAAATATGATTTATATATTTCAGATTGATGCTCAAGAAATATCAGCTATACTAATACTATCTATTATTTTAACATTAACATTCGTCATTCCGATGCAGTCAGTACATAAACTATTCTCTTTTTCATCAACATCTGTGAAAGAATTGGATAAAGAAAAAAAGGTCGTTGAAGAAACAGAAGTACAAGAACATAAAGAAGAATTAATAGAGAATTCTGAAGATAATATAGGAGAAGTTACTAACATACCCCTGATCCGAAATCGACAACATTTCGTAGCTCACAGAGAGGTCTTAGAAGAAATACCTGAATTAGAAATAGAGTATGAAATGCAAAGAGAAAGGAACGAAGGCCTAGAAGAAATCTTGGAAGAGGAAGAAGACGAAGAGCCAGAAGAAAGAGAAGATGATGATGATTTGGAAATAATCGAAGAGGAACAGGGAGGGGAAGACGATTTGTGGGAAGAGAGAGATACGTCTCTAGTTAGAAGACCTTATAGCCGCAATGATAACGACCAAGATTTAGACGAATGGGAATGGACTACTAACGGCAATAATCGTAATGGAGCTCAATATTATAGGTATTCCAGATAGCACTCGTAATATCCAAATTCAAACGACGAAATAAAATCCCTTTTTTATTACTCCTGATGTGGTTTTATTATTCATGTTTAAGATAACTTGTACTAATATTAATCTAACTGTATCTGTTTGAAGGTGTTAAACTCAAAAATTGTTGAATGGGTTACTTTGACTTTTACTCTGAAATTTCATACAAAAATATGGATGGAGTTATTTAATAGAAAATATTCTATAAACGTTGAAAATAATACGCCGAATTATTGAAAAAGTTATTGTAATAGTACATAGTACTGTGAACTTAATTATGACGCGATTAATTCATATATACCTCTAATATCTAAGAGGGCACTGTATACAAATTAAACGTAATCAAGTAAATATAGTAAAAAGTTTATAAATATAAAACCTTTTTCATCATAACAGTTATGTACAAATTACATCTATATAATATAAGCTTTAATTAATATTGATTAAATCATGTCATAATTTAAAGGGCTCTGTTAAGAAGACTGTACGTTCCTTCGGGACATCGGTTAAACTGCGGGAGTGACTTAATTTAAAAAAAATTATAGGTCACTGTTTAAAGCTTCCTCATTATGTTTTTAACACCGAAAACGCTTATAGTAAATGTGAAATGTTCGGTTCGAATTGGTATGAAATCTCACATACGTAATGAAAGAAATATATTGTAAAAAATACCATATATGCAGTTGCACGTAACACGTTAATATCTTGAACTTTGTTTATTTGAAAAAGGTCATGCTTATGGCGCCTCCTTGGTAATGAGCGGTGGGCTTAGGAACTAATTAAGAATGAATGGCCAGATATAATGAAATAATTAATTTCCATTAATTTAGAAACAGAATTGTGCTTAACATACGATCGAAATAAAATTAAATATATATTTTATGCGAAAAACTGCTTCATTATAGAACAGGCTCTCTTATAGCTAAAACGACAATTTAAAAATATCTCGATAAAAAAAATCGTATATTAGTTTCAAATCGTATTAAAATCGTATTTAAATAAATCATTAATCTTAAATATACTTTTTCTTGAGTAGCTCGGTGGCTTAGTTGATAAGCACTACGGTGCGCCATCTTGTTGCTAAGCAACTTTCGCAAGGGTCGGTCACGGGATGGGTGACCAAAAATTATTATCTCGACCTACTCCGTGATTTGGAAGGTACGTTAAGCCTTGAGCCCGCGTGGAGGCTCATAGCGCAACCTCCTTAAACATCCACAAGGAAGGCCTGAGCCCTGCAGTTGGGGCGTAAAAGGGCTGGTGATGATTGATGTATTCCTATCTACTGTATCAAGGACAAGTACCTATTATTAATGTCAAAGCTACACAAAAAAATACACAACAAATTGGTAGTAAAAAAATGTTGGTCTATTCAAAAGTAGGGGAGACCGAGATAGATTTTGCTCTTACAACTTTATTGGTCAACTTATCCCAGTCGAATAGTCAATCAACCCCAAGCATGGGGTAGGTTGACCAGCTTTTCCTATATTACAAGAACTGGCCTGTACCCCGTAACATAATAAAAAACGTGCTTTTTGCCACATTTTTCCAAAGTTTAATAGTTAATCTATAAACTGAATCTATTGTTAAATTAATATACTCGAAAGAAATAAAAATAGAAACCTTTAAGCTGAAAATTGGTCAATCAACCCGGTCTTCCCTACTTGAATAATTATATTTTACTTTACTCAGTAACTATTTCTATAACTTATCACTTTTTAATTTTTTTCATGAGATGACATAATTTTTATAATCAAATAAAAGCCGGCTAAGTGCGAGTCGGACTCGAGCACGAAGGGTTCCGTACCATTATCGATTAAAAAAGTAACAAAACCGAGTTCGAAATTTTCGAGTTAAATAGGGATGGTGCCAAATTTTTGTTTATTTATCCGTCAGGTAGATTATTGAAAAATATTAAATACATATATTTTTTTTGTAATCATTAAATTACGGCGATACATTGAGTTAAAATGTTATATGACGTCACGTTTTTGTACATTTTCTACAAAACAGTGATGTAGCCCCCACTCCTTAACGATGAAACTGAGAAACGCCAGTTATATAAGTTATTTGTTATTAAAATGAAGTCAAAAAAAAAATACGTATCTAAAGTTTTTCTATTATCTGACTAACGGACTAAAAAGAATTTCCTTTTTTTTTGCCCAGTCGTCATCCCTATTGGTCGACTATTACTCGTAAACTTGTACAGCCAACTTAAGTCTTTACTCCCATTAGATGGTGAGTTTCTTGCTCGTTCTTCTTATCAGCCAAAATACGCCCTGAACGAGTGCTAGGGGAAAAAAATGTTGGACGATTCAAAAATACATTTACGAAGTCTATTTGAATAATGATTATTTTGACTTTGACTTTGAAGTGTACTACTGCCGTAACGTTTGATTTTTTGCCATCCACCATTTAGTTGGTAGAGGATGGGGCTTTGGGCACACTTGGCTTTAACGAAAATAAGCTTTTTAAAGCTCAATTAATGAAAAACGATATGCCAAATCGAAAAACGTCCTTCCCACACCCCTAATGTTTTTGAGAGACCTATCCAAACATGCCCCACAGTATGGCGAAGACTTAAAAAATAATCATCCCCATATTACATGGAGGGGAGGTTTTTGAGGAGGGTATTATATGACTTTGTCGGCGTAATTAACATGTATACTCATGCCAATTTACAATTTTCCCGTAGCAATAGACTTTGAGGTAAACCGCGGACGGACGGACTTAACTACGGAACCCCAAAAAGACATTATTGTAAGAATAAGAAAATAAAATGTATCATAGTTTCATATATAAACTTCTTGGTTTTATTACTTAAAGTTTTGGTAATGACATTGATCTTAGTGTATTACGTCACATGAAATCGGAAGTAACTTCTAAAATATGCAAAACTGGTATTCACTGACGCTTAGTTGTTATTGCATGTTTTTATTGGACTATTTAACCTTGTAATCTACATACTAATATATTTGAGTCTAAGGGAATTTAAAAACAATATCTTTTAAAATAAGCTTATGTGGTTGCCAGATATAGAGTTTAAATTCGACGGGGTTGCATTACTTTCATCTATACGATATAAGACATTAGATCCCGAATTGCATGTCAAAAACTATTTTTAATTAATTATGGTAAAATTATGGTAAAAGTTCACGGTAAAGACCTCGACCAGAAGAAATGGAAAACATTATGCATTTTAATGTAACTTAGTTTTTTTTTGGTGAATTTTCTTTTTATTATTTTGTCTCGTGCCATTATTTATTTAATTTTATCTATTTCAAGTACAGCTTATTTTTACGTTACACTTCGAATAAAATAAATAATTATTAAAATATAGCTTATGCTGCCTAATGGAAAAAAGAAACTACAATTATTTTCTCTATAAAGAACAGATAACTGGGGGAATCACAAAGAGGCTTAATATATTTAGTGGATGTAATATTTAAACTATTTTTATTATAACATGAATTGCTTCAAGCTTTATCCCAGTCTGTTGCATTAAAAATACGTAAGTAAGAGCAGGATAGACGACGGAACAGACCACGATACGTCTAATGTCAATTTTACCAGTCATGTAAGGTCATTAAATTCAATAATTAATATTAGTTTAAGCACATGTTAGTATATAATAAAAGACAACAAATCAATATTAAAATCGGAAAGACAAATATCAATCATTTGCTTAATGATAATAATCCATTTGTTCTGGTTTCTGGTCTCTTTGCGTTCAAGGTTTTAGCCGTATACTGTGCTTTGCACCAAGCGCTAAAGTTGACGTTACATAATAAAAACCGGCCAAAAGTGAGCAACTGTGAGTCGGACTCGCGCAAGAAGGGTTTCTAACGGAAACGAGCAAAAATCACGTATGTTCTATGGGAGCCCCCCTCATATATTTGTTTAATTTTAAATTAATATTTTTTAAGTTACTATAATAAATTAATATTCTCTAAATATTTTTAATGTCTATCTGTTGTCGTAATCGAACAAAAACAATCAAAAAATCACGTTTGTTGTTTGAAGCGGCTACAATACATCATATGTGAAAATTTCAACTAACTTTCACGGTTCGTGAGATACAGCCTGGTGACAGACAGACAGCGAAGTCTCAGTAAAAGGGTTCACATTTTACCCTATGAGTACGGAACCCTAAAAAATAGCGACTCCGACTCGAAAGACGTCTCTACGTCTAAAAATTCATTTATTTAAGTTTGCATGATCGCCGCTGAGTACACCAACTTATACCTGTTATATGTATTATTATACTTTTATATGTTTACCAAATTTTAACTCATTTAGTCCATTAGTTTCGTAGAAAATCTACCGTGGCAGATGACTGGACAGACAAACGGACACTGGATGATCTTTATAAGGATTCCCAATTATTGTAATTATGTGTATGTGGTGTTGGTATATTTATGTAAGCAATATTTTAATTACCTATATCAGTATTTTAATTCTCCGCCAATGTCACTCACTGCCTTACAAATATTCTGTATATCTTCACCAGTTGACTACGGACTGCTAATTTCGCCATTTTCTATAATTTGGTATTAAAGAATAAATAAGTTAAAAAAAAGCCGTTTGGGCCGTTTGAGGTATTAAAGTCCAAAAAATCTTTATTCAAATGAACTTACTTAATATTCAAATTTTGAATCGTCCGACATTTGTACCTCCTCATTTGGCTGATAATAAGAACGGGCGAAGAAAAACGCGTGGAACAGTAAGTATTTTAACTATATTTTAATAACATTGTGATGTCAATTTATGCAAATAAATATCCACCTAGACTTCCTTGTGACAATGTTTGTTGAACTAGAATGATTCAGTTTGTTTAAGAATTTAACATGTTATAGTAACAACTTTATCGCTTTAAAGAAGATGAATTATATTAGTATGCGGACATCAAAAGTTAAGGGATAAACCATAGGGATAAACTAAGTTTTAAAGTACATACATAAAAAAATGATTTAAAGATAGATCAGTACTAATAAAAAAAACCCGTAGTCCCTCAATTGGATTTGTACTAAGTAATAACGTATAAATAAGCTGTAGTTTTCTTATTTCTACACACAGGTACATCATTATGTATTGTGTTATTTTGTTTTTTGTATTTCTTTGTAAGTTGTAAATTTCTATGTATGTAATTGTGTTGTGTGTGGTTGTCGAATAAACGTTTATCTATCTATCTAAATAATTAAGAAGGAGGAAACTTATTAATGTTTCTGCGTCTTTTCTCACAGTCAAAACGTTGCTTTTAAAATTTTATTCTTATAAAAATGAATAGAAACATTGAATTCGATCATAAGACCTCACATACGACGAAATTAAACATGACATTCCATTGAGGTTTTCCATTTCGATTCTCCATTTAGGTCAGAACCTATGCTGACGAAGATGCTTTCATATTTTTTGAAAAAAAAAAACACTCTTCCTTTAAACTGAAAGGGCACAGGCCCAACGTGGATTAGTAGAAATTAAAAATTGTTTACTGACCTGACGGTTAACGTGCCTTATCTTTATGAGGTACCTATCCATCCATACAATGACCGGCTTTTAAAAATCTGCGTAACTTCCCGCTTTGTTAAAAGAAAGATAAAAATATTTAATAGACACTTATAAGGTTTAACACGACCTCCGACTATTTATTATATGATCGGAAAGATATTTTAAACAATTGCTATAATAATTATCTAATTATATAATAATAATCTAATAACTTGTATTTTGCCATTGTGCCTTCTACCTGAAGTTTAATATTATTATAAATTAAACGAACTTATCTTAAATGAAGTTCATATTCATAGTCTTGAATCATAATAGCATACAAACTAGTACACGTGCTTTGGTAGTCGTCAGTCACGAAATTCAGAGCCATAATAAGCTCAGACTTAAAGATCAAAAAAGAAAATTCAAAACTTAAGTGATTTTTGTTTACGAAATAAAATATATTTATTTTTTTTCTGTTCCTAGCGCTATCTTTGAGGTTCCTTTATTAGCGTTTTTCGTGTAGCCACAGCGTCACAGTGAAAACATTTGTTTTAGTTAAAGTTTTGTTTAATATTATAAAAGTGTATCAAAAATTGCCAAAACGTCAATCGATAAAACATAGCGAAATATAAAAGGAAACTTCATAAATATGAAGAAATGGCACTTCTACAAACGACCATTGGAGTGTGAGGAAATCATTGTACTAATAATATAGGTCTTTACGTGGATAATACAATGGTAAAATACAAGTCTACGTATGTAATTATTAAATAACATTAGCAGACTTGACCTGCTTGTCTTGTGATCAGCGCTGATCTTTTGCTGAAACCGTTTTGGTTGATTTAGAATCTAGTTATTTACCTAAACGAATGTTATAATGAGATAAGATTTAACTGTGTCAGTTTCCATCAAATATACAGAACCGTGCCGTGCAGCATGCACCGACTTTAAAAATTCGTTCACTTGTGAAAAGATTCTATTATTACGCATGCGAAGTAGCGGGAAGTAACAGCTAGTGTAATTTAAAAAAAAAAAAAACTTAAAATTCATAATTCTAATACTTCCAAATGTGTGCTAATTCATTTCAAATTCGAAGCTTCCAGATTAAGAATTGTAATTGGCGTGGATAATTAAAATGCCGGTATTACCCTCTCGCTCAAACAATAAAGTTATTACAATAATGTGATGGTCAAGCAAATCTGATGAGTAGAGTGACTGTGATTACTAGTGTAAAATATAACTAAATATTATGTGAACAGCTATGCTCTTTTGTCAAAAAAACCGGCTCGAACATGCACCTATAATTTAAAAGATGTTTTTTACCAATAGTTGTAATTGTGACAATTGTTTAGGCTAACTATTGATAAAAACATATGTATATGTAAATATGTTTTTTATGTATGTTTGATAAAAAAACATACATAAAAAACATATTTAACCATTTTTCGAAGAAGATTTTAACATACGTTTGAGTTAACTGCGTATCAAAAAACCGGCCCTAAGCCAGTTCCGGCAGTTAAGTCTAGATACATTTATAGTAATAGTTTATGGTTACGATGCGTGAACCTTTCTTAAAATAAACATGGCAACATTCAACTGTCATGGAATAGGAGTATGAGATTAGTATGCACGGTGATATGTAAATTTAAGAACTCATATATTATATAGAAAATTCATTTGCATTGTCCTCAAAGTGGACACATTTGCATTATAACAAATTTAAAATTTACACATTATAGAAAAATTGTGGAAAATGGGCTCAAGGTTAATTCAAAACATAGAGTTGTTGATTTTTTGGATTAAATTAATGAGTAAGCGAATGAGTGATTATAAGAATCGATGTCTCCCTCCAATATTCAAGTAACTACTTATAAAATTTTCATGTATCAGACATATTTAGATGTATCAGATATATATACTTATACATATAAAACAGATTAAATTAATTTTTAATCGAGTGAGTAATTATAAGAATCGATGTTGTGAATTGACTTGGATATTTGAATAAACAGACATAGATATAAAATTCTTTTTTTACTAGTAATTTTTAATAACAAAATACATAAATTACATGTTTATATTAGCGAAGAAACAAAATATAGCGTATTTTGCATTCTTTTATATTCGTAAAGGAGCAATTTATATGTTCATCGACTTCTGCTTGTATTGTGAACAATTTTCCCCGCGTTTTATGTAGTTTTCCGTAGATGAAAAAAAGAAAATTAAAACCGGTTCAATATTAGTGTAGATATAATTATTATTCAGTATTGAAAATAATTATATCGAGCGAATAAATAAAATATATAAGACTTTCACTATACAGTTAAATAATTTTAGTGTTACTAATTATATTAAATTTAAAAAAAAAGACAAAAAAATACAACGTACTTGTCTTAAAAGTAACCATGACGTGCCCACTGCAAGGGATAATGGTCCCTCCACGCTAACCCAGTACGGATTGGAAGTTATTAACGACTACAAATGCAGCTGGGCCTAATGGCTTAACGTGTCCTCCAAAGCACGGAGTAACTCGAGATAGCAATTTTTTGTTCACCCACCCCATGACCCTCCCTTGCGAAAGTTGCTTAACAACACCGATAACAGATCGCAGCGCTTATTATATACATATAGTTATATGTCAATATATAGATTTTTAAGCAATTCTGGGACGCAAAAACAAGTTCTATATGAACTAAATTTTATATCTTCTGACTGCGACTCTGTAGTTTCAATTAATTTTCTATTTCTATAATAAATTACCAAAATGTCCTACTAAAACTTGCTGGTAACGGACAGACATCATACTTAAAAAAAAATTCAGGTTACATAGTAACCGACATATCGTATATAATCAATTTGAGGATTATGAAGGAACTTAAGTTTACACAAAGGTTAAATGTTATGTTAAGCGAGCAAAAAGGAACTCCGAAAACCGAAATTCCGAGTTCCAAGTGACGCAAGAATGGACAAACAACGACATATTCATAATATATCATTCCAAAATAAAATTTTAGTTAAATAAAAATATTAAGTTTATGTTAAAAAACAGGTCGTCGTACACATAAGATAATAATTACGATAAAAAACAATGTCCAACACGTGAGGTCAACCTAACATCATACTGCTATGGTTTGTCCGATGCTCGATCGATCAAAGGCTGTATCAGTTCTGTTAGGAGCGCGACGCGGGCGCACGTGAGCCATGTTCCGTGTGGCAGCCTTCACGATCGTTTGCGCGTTTGCCGCTGCACAAAGCAATTTCACTAACGTAGACAAAAATTTATTACGCAAACTATCCACCTTAGTAAACGCCAATAAAACAATCGACAGACGAACCCTATTGGCTTTCAATAAAACTTTTAGCGATGAATTAGCTGCAAAACTCGGTAGCTTAGTAGATTTAGATAAACTTAACATTAAGAATAAAAGCGCAGATAATAAGACTGATGATGATACGGAACCGTATGATGTGTATGAGATGCCAGGCAGGACGAAACCGTCTATAGCTCATGTAGAAGAATCACCAGATTATGCATCGTCTGTGGTTCTAGCGAGCGATTTGCTCTCATTGACATCGGCTGTTTCAAATATAAAAGAAGAAGAATGCAGAAAACAGGGTTTGAAATTTTTGGATGGATTACTGGAGAACAAAAGATGGGCTTTGAAAAGTAAGTAGTATTTTTTTATTAACTTTTGTGATACTAAATCTCTTATTGAGAACTTGTTTCGACTGTCAAACAAAAATGAGCGAAAGCGGTCTTTGAATTAATTAAACATTTGCGTCATGGTTGACCTTCAAAATAAGTAAAATTATAAAAAAGCTTGTGAAATTCCGCATGATCGATTCATAAAATAGTTTTAATTAAATAAGTATATAAGGGATACTTATAATCGAAAACTGAACTACTTTTATATTCGCCAGAAATAATGTTAGTTTGAAAAAGAAAAGACATGTCATTGTTGATATTTTATACAACTGTGTTGTTGTGTGTAACATAAAGCATTATACCACTTATGCTTTAATTGTGTATTATTAAAAATGTTGACTTCATTTTTATATACTTATAATATTTGAGAAATTCGATTAGAGACTAATTATGATTATAAAAACATTTACCGCATATCGAACCCGCATGGCAAAAATGCTTGTGTGAACAAAAATCGTCGCAACATTCGATGAGATGGGTGGAAAATGATATTACATTCTGGTTTAGACATTTTAAAATAGACTATATTCGTTTTACTCAATGCAAGGTTGCCGCAGATTTAATTACCGATGGTATGGTTTTCAACATTCATAAATATTTGTTTCACATGCTTCTATGAATAGAGATGATGACTGGATTAAAAGAAAAACCTATTTAGTCCGTTAATTAGATAATTGAAAAATATTAGATTAGTATTTTTTTTTTGCTTCAGCTAACAAGAAATGGCTTAGATAATATTCATTAAAGTTGAGGAGTGGGGGCTCGCTACGTCACAGTTTTGTAGAAAATTTACAAAAGCGTGACGTCATGCAACGTTTTAATTTTAACTCAATGTATCGCCATATTTTATTGATTACGCAAAAATACGTGTTTAATATTCTTCAATAATCTACCTAATGGACAAACAAAGATTAGTCGTCATCCCTAATGAGGTACGATGCCTAGAGTATATACAACAAGTATAAAAAACAAACATTAACACGTACATAGTAGATCAATTTATTTTAAATAAATAAGTTTTTAAATTATGATTACTTTCCAAAATTATGCGATGGGGTCCTTATCACATCCGTGCGGAGCCTACGGATTTTTTCTGATCTTCCGTTAAATTTGAACCAACCTTTTTATACTCGACGGATGAGCCGTTGCGGGCTAAAGGTTTATTTACATGACATCTGCGGGCGGCGTGCGGGTGATTTCTGTACCTCATCATTATCACCAGCCTTTAATGTCTCCACTGCTGGGACTCGGGCTTTCCTTGTGGATAAAATCGAATTAAATTGAATAAGGGGAATGGGCTATAGCATTCCATAGATTGTTGGGTGTAACAGACTGCATATGCAGTCGAGATCAACAAATTAACGTGCCTTTGTAAGCATGGTGGAGCTCAAGATAGGATTTTTTGCAAGGACCTATGGCCGGCCTTTGCATAAATTATTTAACAGCCGTATCGTAGAGCGAGCGCGCCATCTTAACACTGCGCCATCGAGTTCCTCTGTAACTCGCATTCATTGATTATTATTGACCAGTGTAAATGTGTAAAACCGAAAAACGGACCGTTGTAATAGTATAATCTAATTAAGTACTAAACAATGTTCCTAATCCTAACTTAGTTACTGAAATTAAGACTCAGGAATTAAGCTTTATTTGCAAGTAAATTATAGTAATAATAGCGGAATTCATAGGCAATTAATCAGAATAATGAAAAAACTTTAGGATTTTGAATAAGTTAACAGTAGCGCCATTTCTTCTTTTAAAACTATTTCAACAATGTCCTAACAAACTCTCTTAATGCTTCAGTTAACTCTACAAATTCTTAATTTTCATACCTAAACTTTCGTCAAGAATAACTTCGTTTATGAGTGAAAACCAAGAGAAAAAATTACCATATGATTATTATTTGCCGAAAAAAAACTTTCTCTAATTTTTTTTCGTACAAAATCTTCCGAAAATCCTATATGAACCGATAAATAAAGTGACTTTCTCCAAGTTTTTTTCCATACAATATTTTCCAACATTGTTATATGAACCGATTAAGGACTGTCAATACCTTTATCAAATCACCACCCATCGTTTGTTACCTTCCATAAATGTAAATATTACTAATTTATAGTAAATGTCGTTGGTAGTCAAATTATTTATTATATTGTATTTTGTCGCTGTTTTTTTATACATATTGGCTGGATTTTCTGTCTGGGGTAAAGTTTGAAAAGCGTGATTAGTTCGAAAATCAACGTACATATTCACCTTAACATAACTGAACGTAGTTTGAGTTTCACAAAGAAAGGAGCGAATAAATTTAATTAATCAGTGTTATATTTCTTATTAGAAAAAGAAAAACACAGTTTGCCCATGTTGGCACAATGGCGGCTATATTCTGAACAATGAAGCTTAACTATGCGCAATTTTTCTTCAGTCCATATTTTTGTGGACATTGTTGTTGCTATTTGGGGAATTCTTTCAAAAAATAAACTGGAAAGTTTATAGCATCAGGCTTGCGGCACGAATAAAATGCTTCACTATTTTATGTCATATATGTTTTTGTTCAATACTTTGATGCGATTTTTACTTTATTCAAAATATATATGAATTTCATATTTGATATTGGAGAAATTTACACAAAATTTGTCATGACATGTCAAAAGAATTCTAGATTACAACAAATCCACCTATATTCGTTAAAATTAACAATATAGAGATATTAAAAACTTTACGCTATATACAGTTTATGAATTTATTTTTTAGTTCATCGGGTAATCTAAAGTTAGGTAATGTTATAAAAAATTAATTAACAAGATTCTTCGTATTATAATATAATAGTCAATGCAAATTTGTGTTTGCGGAAATGATTTCCCAGACTACTTGAAAAATGGATTAATAATTTGAAAGTAATATAATATTATTTCAAGAAGCTCGATTGCGTATTGGTTAGCACGCTCGGTTTGCGATACGGTAGTTAAGCAACTTTAGCGATGACCGGCCATAGGATGGGTGACCAAAAATGTATTATACGGAAAGTACGTTAAGCTGTTGATCTCGTTTGCATCATCATCATAATCAGCCCCTTTACAACCCCACTGCAGGGGCTCAGGCCTTCCTTATGGATGGTTAAGGAGGATGGGCCATGACCCTCCACGCTGGCCCAATGCGTATTGGAGGGTATAAAAGGCTGCAAATGCAGCCGAGACCAACGACTTAACGTAAGTTCCGAAGCACGAAGTAGCTCGAGATAATAATCTTTCGGTCACCCATTCCGTGACCGACCCTTGCGAAAGTTGCTAAACAACAACGATCACGGGCCGCGGCGCTTATCCTCTACGCCACCGAGCTACTTACATTTTGCACCGTTTGCATCTGCAGTCGTTAATATCCTCCAATCCGCACTGGGCCCAAGTGATGGGTCATGGCCACTTCTTATTCGATTCTATTTAACAGGGAAGATCCGATTACCTTTGGAAGTAGGTTTTATTTAATTGAACTTTATTGAATTAACAGTACTGCGTTCGACGACGACTTTGAGGCTCTGTTTATTACACTACCACTATATTGTCATCATCATAGCCAGCCCCTTTACAACCCCACTGCAGAGGCTCAGGCCTTCCTTATGGTTGGTTAAGGAGGATGGGCCATGACCCTCCACGCTGGCCCATTGCTTATTGGAGGGTATAAAAGGCTGCAAATGCAGCCGAGACCAACGACTTAACCTACGTTCCGAAGCACGAAGTAGCTCGAGATAATAATCTTTCGGTCACCCATCCCGTGACCGACCCTTGCGAAAGTTGCTTAACAACAACGATCACGGGCCGCGGCGCTTATCCTCTACGCCACCGAGCAACTTACATTTTGCACCGTTTACATCTGCAGTCGTTAATATCCTCCAATCCGCACTGGGCCCATTACCTTTGGAAGTAGGTTTTATTTAATTGAACTTTATTGAATTAACAGTACTGCGTTCGACGACGACTTTGAGGCTCTGTTTATTACACTACCACTATATTGTCATCATCATAGCCAGCCCCTTTACAACCCCACTGCAGAGGCTCAGGCCTTCCTTATGGTTGGTTAAGGAGGATGGGCCATGACCCTCCACGCTGGCCCATTGCTTATTGGAGGGTATAAAAGGCTGCAAATGCAGCCGAGACCAACGACTTAACGTACGTTCCGAAGCACGAAGTAGCTCGAGATAATAATCTTTCGGTCACCCATCCCGTGACCGACCCTTGCGAAAGTTGCTTAACAACAACGATCACGGGCCGCGGCGCTTATCCTCTACGCCACCGAGCAACTTACATTTTGCACCGTTTACATCTGCAGTCGTTAATATCCTCCAATCCGCACTGGGCCCAAGTGATGGGTCATGGCCACTTCTTATTCGATTCTATTTAACAGGGAAGATCCGATTACCTTTGGAAGTAGGTTTTATTTAATTGAACTTTATTGAATTAACAGTACTGCGTTCGACGACGACTTTGAGGCTCTGTTTATTACACTACCACTATATTGTCATCATCATAGCCAGCCCCTTTACAACCCCACTGCAGAGGCTCAGGCCTTCCTTATGGTTGGTTAAGGAGGATGGGCCATGACCCTCCACGCTGGCCCATTGCTTATTGGAGGGTATAAAAGGCTGCAAATGCAGCCGAGACCAACGACTTAACGTACGTTCCGAAGCACGAAGTAGCTCGAGATAATAATCTTTCGGTCACCCATCCCGTGACCGACCCTTGCGAAAGTTGCTTAACAACAACGATCACGGGCCGCGGCGCTTATCCTCTACGCCACCGAGCAACTTACATTTTGCACCGTTTACATCTGCAGTCGTTAATATCCTCCAATCCGCACTGGGCCCAAGTGGTGGGTCATGGCCACTTCTTATTCGATTCTATTTAACAGGAGAGGTCCGATTACCTTTAGAAGTAGGTTTTATTTCATTGAACTTTATTGAATTAACAGTGCAGCGT